CATTTACGCTTGTGTACATCAGAACAGCCTTCATATTCCTCCTCTGCTAGGTTTACATATTTCTTACAGTCTCAACTCCTGCCTCACCAGCAGGGATCATTCATATCTCTGTGGTGTCATCTCATCTTTTTGGAGCAACTTCCAACTTCTGTGTCCCTATGGAGAACTCTATAAGAGATGAAGGTTGATGAACCCTTCTCACTACACCTATATGAAAGTCCAATGACTGTTGGTGAGGGGGGGTAAAATGGATAATACGCACCAAATATCTAGCCCCACAAAGAACACAAGTGATGAACGGTAAAAACATCCTGACACTGTTATTGTAAAAATGCTGGCCCGAAGATTTATAACTTTTAGATTGAAGAACCCTGAGAAAACCATCAAATCTATTAACCTCTTTTATGTCCTGAAAGCACTGAATAGCTGAGAAAGTTAAAATGCACCACAGTTAATGAATGGAATGCCACTGGGCAAAGGCCTCCATGACAAATAGTCAGACGTACACCTGAAAACGAACCTCCTTGGTTCCCGCCCTGTTTATGTTGAGGGACACGTCTCTTGACTCTTCCTAGCAAGTCGTTACTACTGACGTCTCAGATGGGATGTCTGGCTAGGAAACTGAAAGAGGTCTTACATAACTAAAACGTCTCCAAAGTTTACAGATTAAATGGAAGGACGGATGGGAAACATGTTCCTCTTCATACCATACTTCTAAGCCCTACATTCTCCTCATATATGAAGGAAAACCAGACTGCCCTAAAATTCGTAACCCTGTGTGATGGTTCCTGTGCTTGAGGTTTTGGCATACACAACAGCAGTGTACCTGCAGCCTTGTGTGTGGCAACTGCAGCAAGTGGGCATGGGGACCCCATCCCAACCGACCTCCCTGTGTTACTCACTCTGAAGTGTATACATTAGTAACAGGAAATTCCCCATTTACCTACATCAGAAAGCTATTCATGTCCAAACCGACCTCCATGTGTTAACTGCGCCGAAGTGTATATGTCTACTAACAGGAATTGCCCCATTACCTGCATCAGAAAGCTATTCATGTCCAAACCGACCTCCATGTGTTAACTGCGCCGAAGTGTATATGTCTACTAACAGGAATTGCCCCATTACCTGCATCAGAAAGCTATTCATGTCCAAACCAACCTCCATGTGTTAACTGCGCCGAAGTGAATATGTCTAGTAACAGGAATTCTCTTTATTTACTTCTAGACCAAACTCCTTACTTGCGTCAATTAAAGTTCTTGAGTTTTTCTTTATGGTATCTATACTATCACCCAGTAGATTCACATCATCATCATAGACCCACAGCTGATGTGTCTTGTTTAATTTTAGTCCCACCTGGTTTTCCTCGACCTTCCTAATGGCATATTCTGAAGCAAAGCTGAAAAGGGGTGGCATTAAAGCATCTCCTTGTTTTAGACCATTCTGGATAAGGAAATTATCAGACAAACGTTTACGTATACAGACTTTGCCATGCATTTCATTTAAACACATTTTAATCAGTGGCCGAGACCAAAGGCTTATTCATGCTGCGCTATATTCCTTCTGAGACCAGGCTATAAAAGTCCAGCTTTGAAGGGACCAGACAGTTGAACTGAGTTGACAGTTGAGTTCTAGAAGTTGCTGAGAACAGTTCAGTTTGCATCTGACCTTAGAAGAGTAGTCAGTCTTCAGATGGCTTTGACTATAGCAGAAGCAGTAATTGTGATACTGAATGTGATAATTGTACTCGCGAGTGTAAAAGTGGGTGTTCAATATACATATTCGCCAAATCCAAGGCCTGTGTGAATTTATTTGTCGCATTACATAGGCAACATGTGACAATATCATCAATTTTATCCTCTGCTGGGCCATGAACATTCATAACAATATCACACCAGTGACCTCTTAGTATTATGTATGACATCCTATCACTAACAAATTTGACCCACAGCAGTTATGCTGATTATGATATGATTTTGTACGAGAAAACCTGTACCTAATTAATTTTTCTCATTCTCCCTTCCATAGAAAAATGTATATTCGCCTGCTGGTTTGGTGCCAACTCTGTCCCGTCTGACCGCATGTACTCCCACTAAATCTAACTTATATTTTGAGATTCCTTCCGCCACTGTCCTCAGCAACCGATACTTCCAACATTGCAAGTACCAAATCTCATGTCCATCTTTCGCTTAAATCGTTTATCCACGGAATCCATCCAGGTCCAAGACTTCTTGTGATCTTTCATAATCAACATATTGTGTATGGTGAGGAGCTGTTAGCCTGACGCTCAACACCCAAGCTGGAGTACCACCCATTGTCGGCTGTCCGCGACTGCTTATTCAATATATTCGCAGCTACCCTCCATACCTGGAGGCCATCTCCATCTGCAAACTGAGGACGCGCCATGCCATGGTGACACGGGACCAACTTAACATGGGTTGCTAGGCAACAGCTTCGTAAATGCGCAACAGTACTGGAGACATTGCTAGGCAGCGACCTGCGTGCAACAGTGAAAGTACTGATGGAAGTGGTGTTTTCTATGGATCCACTTGAGGGCAATATCACTCGACTGACCAAGTTAGTATAGTCTGTGCAGTGCAGTGCAATGGGGCTAGTGCGGTGGAGCGGAGTGACATAGTTGTGAGGCAGTCCCTGGCTAGTAAGGACGTGAACACAGAAGCCGAGGGATCTACGGGGTTGGAAGCCATTACCAGACAACGAATGGTGAAGGCAGCAGACTCAGAAGACTTAGTATGTGCTGTAGGGAACTGCAGAGTGTGTGAATCAGCGATAGTAATATAGTTACTTGTAGTTACCATATGTAATTGATCAATAAATCCAATTACCAATCCAGACCCCATCTATAGTCACTCATATATGTGCCAATGTGGATAAAGTGGAAAAGTTGAATAGACACAATATAAACACACGACATAAACACAACCTGCATGTGCCAAATGATAACCTAACTACATGTCAGAAGGGAATTTTAATCAGTCCCTGCATAATACTGTGACATGTCCACTCCAAGCCAGAACTTCAGATCCAGAGATGCCGTCCATTGCTTGGCTGCGGCTCTGTAAATGTTTCCACGCAACCAAAACTGACAGACAAGCAACAACATGGGAAATCCTGGTGGTATTGCTCTCTATTGGGTCTATTCCAATGTTATGTACGGGGGACCGTGGCAACATCTCAAGGAGACTGAAGCCAGGAGCAGCTGCACTGGCGACTGCAGTTCGGTAAGAAATAATACTGAATAAAGAGTACTCCAATAAATTGTACCACTCTGTTCAGAAATGCAATGGTGATAGAGGAGGTAAATGTCTCATTCTGTTTATAATGCTGGAGAGCAAAATGTAATGGTTCTTTCTCAAAGCTTCAGAACATTTGTCTCAACCAATCACAGGTCAATAATGCTATTAATTTATGTATACAAATTAATTTTAAGCTTTATTGTGGGTTTACATGGCCAATCATCATGCATATTACATTTCCTGGGAAGGTATGGCATATCAGCCTCTGAAGTATCGAAAGGTCTTGTACTAGCTGATGTCGGTTCACTAGTGGACTGCTCATTGACACTTCAGTTCAACACATAAATACAGACCATTATTTAGATTATTATACAGCCAAATTCAAGGAGACACACTTGAACTCAGTTACACCAAGTTAAGCACTTAATTCATAATTATAACCAAAGTTGAATTATAAGACCTTCAGATGCACAGAAGTCTATACCAGACCTACTGACCACATCATTAAATAAATTACAAATAAATAAACATATAAGCAAAAACCTATATTCGTTTTCTATGAACCACATTCACTTATTTTATTAACTAACAGGGAGGAAGATCGCAGTGTTGCTCTACAAAGTGATTATATGTGAATTTTATCTATGGTACTTAATATTGTGGAACTAGCACTTTCTCTCTCCTCAACATGCAGTGGTAGTCCTCACTTCTCTGCTCCTTGCTCACTTTCGACCATCCATCTCACTTCTATTTTCTCATCAGATCATATTCCCTGAAAGCTGTTCATTCATTACACACTCTGAATGATTCTCTCATATTTTACTGTGAACTAAAGAGCTCAATTAAAACAATACCAAGCACAGTCAGTCTTAGTCTGAGAAATAGAATTCATTTGTAGAGTACCTTATACAAGAATCAAGTTATTCAGAAATCTTCCATCTTCCATCAAAGGCTTAAACTTAAGCCAAAATGAAAAGCTTATCTCTTCTCATTCCTTCTGCTCTATAGAATTTAACTCTAAACTGAAAACAATTAAGTAGAGTAAACATTTACTTTGATCTTTATATTATCATTATAAAAGAAAATGTCTGGAACTTCCACCTACAAACTANATTTGCATTATGATTTATTTCACATGCTTCTCTTGGCTCTATAAATTATCTGTGGACTGAAAATAAATTTTAATTCTAAAACCATAAAAAAATACCATTCACAATGTTTTATATCGTACTAGGAATAATGTCATGTTACTATTTCATATTACAGCTGCTTCCACAATCTGAAGTATATTATAACAGTTTCTACCACCGCGGTACAGTTTTTTTATAGTAAAGCAATTTATATTGTGACAACTATTCTTAATTGACCATACGTCTTATGCTATTAACTCGGAATCGTCTCCTCACACTACTACGCCAAATGTACACTTTACTTTAATTATGACATACGCAATAACGCGTGCATAAGCGCACTATAGCATATCTACTACCGTAAATTATTTTGTATATAAATATGGACCCAACAAAAAAATTGTTCCTAGATCTAGTAATTTGTCTTCTATTGCGCGTAATTATTTATGTTGCAAGTTGTTTTATAAAGACCGCATATCGTAACAAAAGAGACATCACTGATCCCATTAAAAGGAGACTCCTACGGAACACGCCCCTACGTTCATGCCCAGAGCAGACGAGTACTTCCACACGTACCAAAATTCACATATTTTCTGAATAAATACAGTAAACTTACCCTTTCTACTGGTTTATTGCAAGCTCGAACATCAACCATATTACTTAACGTGTCCTTCTGTATATTCACAAAATTTCCTGTTTCGATAACCTGCTTTGGTACAACCTCTTCTCGTAGGCGAATCATGTCAAAACGCCGACACCAGTGTTCGTTCACACCGTTCCACTGCTTCTATTCAAATATTACATTGACTGCATCATTATCAGATACGATCAGAGATAAGTGTCATATACGCAGACACCACAGTACCATCCGTACTATCATTCCTAGTGGTGCGATCTATAGAAGAAGCCCCAAACTGCAGTTTAGCTTCCAAGTACATTCCACTACAAGCAGCACAGGCGATCACAGGTCACGGGCTAACTTAACGAGCAGCCTCTCAGCTAGACATGTAATTTCACGCCATTTATGGTATCCTAAGTCTTTTACAGTGTCTACAAGATTCTGCGACTGGGCCATATCCTGGGCCCGTTGAATCCAATGCATATTGCAACATCCGCCCCCCTCCCCCCCAGTTCCATTTCAATATTATCTTACCGCCTTTCTTACTCCTTGGTTCTACGGCCCACCAACATCCTTGGCCACAGCTACTAATTCGTCTCCATTTTTTGCCGTTTGCCTCAATTTCTTCATATCCAGTTCTTTATGTGTCTTCCAGCAATCTTTGTATGGGCCTTCATTAATACTGTCAAAATTTGTCTTAGTCACGCATGTCTGATACATTCTTTCAAAGGATTCAATGAACTCTTCTCAAACACACTGGTGGTTTTCTAGGTTTCTGAAGTTTTATTAAATATTGATCTCTACAGCAGTTCTCAAGTCTCAAGTCGAATTTGATGAACATAATTTTCTTTAATCTGCCATTGTCCAATAAAACACAACTCTCAAGAGGCCGCCACACACAACCTCCCTTTACAAGGTGTTATACTACATCTTAATGGCACATGCTACTCGTATAATTTTGAAATGGACATTAATTGGATCGGCAGATTCTACTGGACTTTAATGTGGCAGAACTTTATATAACTAAGGAAGTTATCATTGCATGCAGTCTGGCCAGAAATCAACCATCATCTGGAACTGGGAATTTTAAGTCACACAGTACTCCATGACTGATGGCTACATTTTCACTGTAGCTACAGTATCAGTATTTATAATATGCAACACTCACCCAGCCTGGGCAAGCAAACACACCATTCAGTGCATGACAAAGAAAAGTCATCAGTGGATTCAGTGACACATGTTGCTGAATTAGACAGTGAAACTGCTGCTCCATGATGTTAATTTGTCAACAGTAGCCAGAATTCTAGTCATCTGGATTCTACTGATTAGCATCTACATGTATCACTGAAGTAATGGTGATACAAATAACAAGCCAGTAACACATTAACTTCAGTTCATATTTATTATAATCTGTATTGTATTTCACTGAAAATGGGCTTAAAATATATATATATAATATCTCTTACTTCATTAAAGCTAAACCTTTATGTAACTTATAATCTTGTATTATTTATGTATACAAATTGAAACATAATTCACATGCATGTGAACAAACTATCATTACCTCATGTGTGAGGTTTGCTCTAGTACGTCTCTGGATAGATAAGGCTTCAGAATGTTTGACAAAATAATTTATATTACACTCTTATCCAATCAGATATACTATTACTATCAATCAAACATCTTATCCAGTATCTGAAATGCAGAATTACTGACAAAGATCCAACATCAACCACAATCAACTCAGACACCACTCTTGGCTTTCCAACTTAAATAAACAGTTAAAAATACTTATGATCTTGGTAGTATGTATCTTCAGCATACTCTGAAACATGAAACATGGTTGGCTGTTTTTTTAATGGAAATGAAAGCTTACATTGCCTAACTGATAAGGAAAAGGATTTCATTTTAATTTGTATTTGATGAAGTTCGTATGATGATCCAAGGAGCCAGATAAATTATGTTATAATTTTCATCCTCACTCAATGTTGTGAAAATTGTCTGTGTGAAGACTATACATGTCTCACAAATAAATGGATTTTGACCACATGTCAAAGATTTTTAAGAACAATTTGACAGTATTAGTGCATAAGGAGGCCTTGCAGCTATTTTCCATTTCAGATAGTATATATATTTTGTCCACACAATATTACTGTATCACATAATCAGTTCTGGTTAATTTTAATTAGGGAACAATTAACTTATTTCAGTTAAACTAATAACAAAAACCAAGAGTAAAAGGGCATGTAAGAAAAAAGATACCTTCATTCACAAGTGCACACATACCTAAAAGCAAACAAATTAACAGTTATACAAAGTAGCATAATGAAAGGAATGTTAAATGGTGAACTACAGGATGCACCTTATTACACCATGATGTACTTGTACTACCCCAATTAACTTGGGAAAATTCAAACACCAGAAAATCTGAAACAGCAGAGGCCATCACTTGCTATGAAAATCCCACGTCACAACTGAGATGTGAACAAAGCCAGCCTGATAAGCAAAACAGAATGATTTATAGTTTTTCAAAGTTCAAGGCACTCAAGTAGATCAAAATTTATTGACCGAGGAGAAGGTCATGTCACAGCTAAAGTTCAAGACAATGGCTTCTCATTCCATACTGATTCATATTGGAATTATGCTGGATGAAGTGCCACTGAAGCAGGCTTTCCTCCAAGTTTCTTTGGTTTTCCCCCTGCTAATCATCATTCACCATAGCTCCATACCAATTTATTACTGTGTGTGATAGCCATGAACAGCCAACACGATGTCATACATTCATTCTTTAAGTTGGGAACTTCTCCCTGAGGGAGCCAGGATAGTGTATTCGGTATAGCAACTAGCTACAGGATGGATGAACAAGGGGTCGGCGTTCACGTCCTGGTAGGGTCAAGAATTTTCACTTCTCCGCGTCATCCAGACTGGCTCTGAGTACCAGGACCAAGTTACATGTCAAATACACACAGAAATGAATGTAGACCTTGAAGTATAGTAGCTGTAAAAATTGTCCCATCTAAATGAAAGCTGAAATGTTTCAACAACTTTTCATGAAATTCTACAGTATCAAATTTCATGAAAAAATCTCTAGTGATTCCTGAGCTGTTTCATGAGTAACACAGACAGATAGGATAGACTGCTGACAAGCAAACATGCATGGATAAGCTCAAAACTGGATAATACAGAACACTGGGTACACAGAATTATACTGTAAATGTCATTATTTTCTTCAGTAAAAAGGTAAACATGGGTGTAACAGACCATACCAAGTGTTCTTACAGGAAAAGAGTGAGGACCACTTAATAAGGCAGAAAGCGTATGTTTGTATGTCCATTTGCTTTCAAACTGAAATTATACTAAAATAAAAATCATTACATTTCTGGGTTCTGACCATTGATTCAATTTATGTTTTCTGCTGTAACACTGGAAAACCCATTACTGAAAACACTGAATGTTCTTGGTCATCAGTGAAATTTTAAACAAATCATTTCAAGTACAATACTTCCATACAAATTTTACTTATCCACATGACACATCTTGTAAATACTGATGAAACCATTGCAGATTTGAAAACCTTCATTGGATAAAATAGTCTGTCTGGAAATCCAATAACTGTTCTCAAATCAGACCTGCACTGGGTGTTTCTGGCTTTGAACCATGACTTTACTGACAAATTGCTTTCAGTTTAACCAATTCTAGAGAGGCTACGAGTGCTTGTGTACTTTTAAACTAATTCTGCAAGTCTGGCAAGATTTCACTTTTTTAATTACTAAACAATGTGACATATAAAACAATTTGATATGACAAACCACAATGGCTCTGTTAAGCAGTGTTGCTATTTTCTTATGAACTGTATTTATTTTGAGAAAATAAAGTCTTACAATATTGTAATATGGTTACATGTTCAAGTTATTACAAATTACTGTGTCAAACATTATGACTACATACAGAAGTTTACCCCTTCCTACAAGTGCAAGTGAAGGCTAGTTTATACTTTTTTAAAGCTGTTACAATTCAGTTTGGATTAAAGAGATAAAATAACGTGAATTATGAACAATCAGCTGACTCATTGGTTGGAAGTTATGATTTTTCTGCATTTGCACAAGCATATGTCGTTTTTGTCATCGGAAATAATATTATACACTAATTAACTCCACTGAGCACAGTCCTTACTGTAAAAAATTTGAAGAACTGTGATCATAACTCGTTGCTCTTGATGAGAGATGATGATGATGATGATGGTATCTAAAAAGTTATAATGTACATCAAAGGTTAAAAGAATAAAAAGATACAAACATGTGGTGGGCATAGCACTATCCCTAGTATGTCTCTATCATATAAACAAAGATCTTTTCTGAAAACATAAACTATATAAACATGAGAATCAGACAGAAACTACGGTAAAGATGCATGCTGAGTCAGTCCTCTACTAAATCCATGCCTTTCAGCAAACATATGCATCACTATCAAGATATAAAACATTTATTTCTAAACTCAAGAAATAACACCAATGGTTTCTCAGACTGCGGTTTACAAATTCTGAAGAATTATTTAAAATATAGTCATATCCACATACACTTTTGTCAAGTCAATAAGATTTAATATAAGTGCTTTTGGGAAACGTACATGCAACCAACAAAATATTCTGCAAATATTGTTGTGATTGTAAAGGTACATTTTACAGCTTATTGTATGTGTGGAGAGACTGCAAAGCTGTTCATTCTGACAGGGACCTGCAGCACTGCGCAGAACTGTACTTTTCATTGACTGTAAGTGATGAGGGTCACATAAAATAATACATTATTTTACAGGGTCACAGTATCACAAAGTTTGAGAAACTGTGTATAACCAGCATAAAATAATAAACACATGCTCTCTTTAAGTTCCCAAATCTGAGATTGTGTCTTAATTAATTTTTTTCCCATTATGCACCAAAAAGAATTACACTTAACATCTTGCAAGTTACACACTGTTCCCTGATTTCCCTCACTATTGATACACGACCTGAACTTCTGTAAATGTAGATACATTTTATTCCTTCTTGTCCAGTTCATGCACATAAGGCATGGGTGAAAATAAAATAAACTGAAGTTCACAATGACAAGGTACTATAATATACAAAAATACAAGGAACCAAAGTTCATACAGACAAGGCAATGTGTGAGAATACAAGGAATCAAAATTCATATAGGTAAGACAATGTA